AGGTGGAAGTTAGTAGTTAGAAGATGACTACTATATATGAGTAATACATGAATCATCTTGATAGCTTAAGCATTATTACAATTTTGTTAAAAGATGGTAAACGATCTATATTGATAGATGAGTAGGTAGGATTATTAACTATAGAAACACTACTAGACTATATTAATCTTAGTATTATCATTATGAGTGGATTAATGATTTATACGAGGACTTACTTTGATACTTTAAATATTGTAATTAAAAGATGAACTGTCATGATGTGAGATAAATTAATGCTAGGAGCAATACTTTGACATATTATTGTTATTGTTGTTGTTAAAATAGGGTGAATGATTTATGTACCTGAGAAGGGAACCAGCTGACACGATGTTTTTCTGAGTATTGATACATAAATAAATAAAAAAAAAAATTAAGCCCATTTCACTTATCACTAAAAGATGAAAGACATCAATTTATTGTGATCTTAGACCAGAATAGAGGCTAGCGAGCCACATAAAGTCTAATAAATCAGGTGGCATACAAATATAAATACTGTTAAATTAACAAACTTAGTGAATATCAGCAGCTATACTCTTGACATTATTATTAGCTAGTTAACCCAGGGAGGATACAGTTGTGTGCCAGATTCTAGTGGCAAAAAAGGAAAATTTTGCAGCTAACTCACTCGCTCATTCTCTTGTCCCTGTCAGCAAGTAAATAATCAATATGAAAGTTGTCTATGTGACATGGGAAACTGAATAATAAAGTATGCATTAGCCTCAGTGAGAATCAGCATAAAACATAATAGGACATGTTTGAATTTCCTTTGTTCTGCAGACTGTACTCTTTGAGGTTGAAATTGTATTGTATCTACCATATAAGAATGCCAAAGGCTGACCATTAGAGCAGGCTTGAAAGAATGTCCAACAGGTATACTACAAGAAAGTTTACCTGGGTATTCCTCAGAAGGCAACAGAACCATGCATTTTGGCTTAAACTGTTTTGACACCGTCTCAAATCCACTGCTTGATTATTTTGGCCTTATCTAACCCTGAAGGCTGCAAGTGTTCTGGAAAGAAACCATAGAATATCAATTTAAAAGACATCAATTTCTTTGAAAACCTAAACATTATTTAAGATAGCTTTCCTCGCCTTTCTATACTCCAGATATGTTACACTGACACCCAGAACTACAATATTATTATAGTTCAGATTCCCTGTGTTCAAGCAATCTGAAAAGTACTATCTACAATTGTCAGGTTCAGCCTAAGAACAAGGAGGCAATCCAGTATAGTTCAGTTCCTTTTTAGCTTGCACCTAATAGACAGAATCTTGCCAGACTAAACCTATGCTAAAACAACTAGTGGATATACCCCGTGAGACTCTAGGGAGGGGACAGCCTCATCCTCTTCGTCTTCCCACACTCTTGTTGTGGGCTGAGGAAGCGCTTGCTCTGGAACGCCACTCCCCCTCCTGACAACCTTGAACTTCCATTCCAGAATCTTCCCCCTCATGCCATCCATTACAATAGAACTAAAAACCCCCCAAACAACAGCTTATACAGCCATAGAGAGCACAAAGACCCACAACAAATAAAATGCTGTAGAAAGCAGCTATGGGGATAGGAGGACATGGAGTATCTTACAGGAGTACTCCACATTACAACAATTTATTACAAGTAACACTTGTCCTACTGAATCATCAAATGGATTCTTTTTCATTAAAAATAGATTTGGGGAGTAGATATTTAGAAGCTCCTACAAGATAATTGATTTCCTAAGTTCCTGACACATAGATTCTATCCACACACTTAACTTTGAATAGGTTTTGAGAAATTAAGGGATATGCTGCTCAGTCCTATGCATGTTTACTGAGAAATTATTCCCGTTAAAGTCAGAAAAGTACACAAGACTTAAGTAAACATAAATACAAACAATGAGCTGGAAAACATTCAGATATCATACTTGAAACAACATAGAAGCACTATTTTTACACAGTTCTACACCTTAATAAAGATATCAAAATACTTTGTTGGTGATACAACAGCAATATAGGTTGTTTTTAAGAATCCAACTTCTAAAGCATTTTAAGTCAAAGAATTAGCTGACAATGGAGCAATATATAGACTAAATGTCATTGATTCATAAGAAAGAATAACTTGTAAGAACAGAAATAGCAAATAGTTTATATTTGAGAGTAGATTTGAAATTCTCGGCTATCAATTAAATACACAAGTCTTTCTAAAGAAGATTTTTTAGATTAAAAATGAGCTATTATCTTAGTAATATAAAAGTATTATATTTCCATGATACTTCCAAAGCATAAGATATTTCAACTTTAGGTTAACTTCTCTGCTCTTACACACTTGCAGCACACCCAAAAGGGACTATCTTAATTTTATTTTGCATGCAAACCCCCCCCCCACCTTCTCTTACATTTTGGTCTCATTGTATTCACAGTGCTTCTGCCGCTCCCAGTAAAGACATGTATTATCATACCCACACGAACACATATGCCCATATATACTTCATCTTAGTTAAGAGGATACCTTTTTATCAAACAATGTTCTGAAAATTTGATAGCTTGCATTCTCATTTCATCTTTTTACAATATATTTCATCTTTCTCTCATTTTTGTGTTTCTACAATATATTAACATGAACTTGAATTATACACCAGATTGCCTAATGCTTATTTATTTAGTTCTTATATTCATAAGTGGCTTTAATCATCCAAGTGACTCTAGGAGACATACAACTTATTAAAACAATGAAGGTGAAAACATCAATGAACAACAAAAAAACATTAAGTATTATTATATTGGAGGAGGAGTCACCAAGGAATAAAATCCCAATATCAGAGCCTTAGGAAAGACATTTTAAAAGCTTTCCTGAACAACAGTGTTGAGGCCATGTGGACATAGGTTTGTATGATCATTTTTCCTCCCTCCCCCCACATTAAAATAACTGAACAAGAAATAAGGAAAATCTGCATTAATATTAATACTTCCTGCATTCAGGAAGTCTAGTAGTATGAAACAGAAACTGCAAAGGAAGATGAAGTTCAATTTGGTAGAGATAATGGTTCCTTGCCATCTAAAGAAACAAAATGTGAGAATTTCTTTCAACCCAGCTATTAGCATAGCAGGCCTTCCCCTACCCGTACTTGAATTATTTCAACTCAGGTATGCAATAACTGGCACTTTTTCACAATTTGTACCAAAGAAATTGAAAACTCTTTGTCAGCTGCTGCTGTTGTTAGCAAATGCACCTTTCAGTAACTAATAATCTCAGTGGTGATACCATTCCTAATGTTAATGCTTCCATGCTAAAGAACAAACTGATAATTCAACAGATCTTTGGGAGCCAAAATCAAAACAATTTTCAGCTAAAGATGTATGTGCTGCTTATTTATGGGTTGTAAGAGGAAAAACAAGGGTGTAAAATACATGTCACAAGTAAGGCCAATTTTCTGTCTGCATACATGCATGCATGCTTTTCTTCCAATAGGCAATCCATGACAGAAAATCAACCACTTCTGAAGAAAAAGAAAATAGCATAAACTCATGGGTTTTACCATCTATTTATTTTTCTACTTTTGTGACAAAAGTACCATGCCAATCTAAAGAAACAGCCAGGCTCACAGATGCAGGTAGAGTATATACCAGTGTTTTAAAGACATACAAGAAAGCAGACATTTATGGTAATTAGAGGATGTAACTAATCAGGGACTGACTTGTCTTCTGTGGCTTCATCTCTTATCTGTCAGGGAAGATCTAGATCAGCATACTGTCTCCAGTGTAGATTATTACCACTCTTCACACCCTAACTCTGAAACATTCAATGCAGGAAGGTCTACCAAACATTTGAACATTACAAACATTTGTGCAAGCCTTATTTTATTCTGGGAGAAAAAAGTTGTGTATTTTCAAGTGTGTAATGCCCATGACCACTTGGGTCCACCTTACAATTTTTTGTAATTAAAAAACCAAAAAGCAACAATGAGTCTTTCAGGTCTTTAGACTAACACTTTATTACAGCATAAGCTTTCATGTACTCAAAAGCCATCAGAAGTATTAAATGTTATCTTGAATTACAAGTATTTAAACACAACCTCACATAATTCAGCAGAGGATGGGACAGAAAGAAGTAAACAATGAAATAAGATGGAAATGAAAGTAGAAGTGGAGATCTTATTAATAGTGTCAATGTATAAACAACCAATCTGCACTTTTCAGATTCCTTTTAATTATTTCATTTATATTCTAATTTTCTACTCAACATATTCTGTTTGCATTGCTTCTATTAAATTGTGAATATAAGGAAATAAGAAAAGAGCTAAACATCGTATTTCCTTAAAAATTCAATGTTCAAGCACTTTGTAATTGACTAGGAAGTTACAATGACTCTTTGAATCTAGAGATCTGATTCCCTTCCTGGCCAGGTAGGTATAATCAATTCCCATTTTAACATATGAGTAAGAATATGAGTAGGAACTACAATAAATGAACAGAGAATCTTATAGTTGTTCAGAGTTTAACATAGCAAAATAAAATAAAATCTGCTTCCTATGCTTGAGCAAAGCTACTACAATTCAATAAGAATTACCATTATTAAACAAATTATTTTGGGTTCATTCCACTTTCAGTTGGTTTTTTTTTCAACTTAGAATTTCTGCCATTGACAATTTGTATTTATTTCCTGTGACACAAATAGTCTAATTTGTACATGAAAAATGTAATTATTTTGAGGCAAAATTCGGAGGCATAGACTAAGTGCTTCTATAAAATGATACACAGGGTGTCCCAAAAGTCAAATTGTCCCAAAAGACAATTTATTACGAATTGGACATCAGTGAAGATATATTCTAATTATATTCAGTTAACATCTTAAGAAAATATTTCATGATTAAGTTCATTTCAAAATGTTCATTAAAAATTAATTATGATACAAAATGAAATAATAGAAGTGGAAAGACAGGATTAACATACATTAAAAAAAAACTTTATATAATTAACTCGGAATGGCTCAGAAAATTAAAAAAAACATTTTTGTATTCTGACAATTTCTCTTTCATTTTTTTCCAATTACAGTTGGAATTTCTGGGATGCAATAAATGTTTAAAGACTCGATTTACTCAGAAAATGTTGTATGAAAAACCTGTTTAAATGGCAATATGTAACATTTTTGGAGAATGATAGTAGATTTAAAGCTATACATTTTAACCCGCTATCCAAAGATGCTATAGCCCTTAATACTGTGACTGTACAACTCTAAAGATTAAACTCCTTCTTACACACTACAAAATTTGCATTTCTGCGTTCAATTTTTTCTAATGTGTCAGGTGTTGAAAACCTAACATAAACACATTTTAGAGTTAGACTTATCTGCACATTTGTTTCTTTCTATTCCTGCGCATAATCACCGTTGGGCTGCACAGAGTTAGGGCAATCTCATGTGCTCTTTCTTGGAAGTAAATTCCACTAAGCCAAATGGATTTTACTACTGACTAAATATCACAATTAAAAATTATACCATATTCTGCTATCATACCAAATCCTGAATATTTACAAGTTTAGAACATAATGTAAGATAACAAAAACAGAACTGCAAAACTATCAGTAGTCAGTCAGAAAACAGCAGCACAAACGAAATAACTTTGTTGAAGGTAAATAGTGAGCAACTGGTAAAATTAAAACACTGAAGACCTGTAAGCCACCTAAAGATCGGCATGTAGCCTAAAATTCATGGAGTTTCATAGACACCACAAAGGAGACTGTGGCTTGGGCAACCACCCTGACACTGTCCTGGACTCTCCCACAAGAAGGAAGATGAGTTCTGATAACTGAAGAGTGCAGCTTATACTATTGTAATAGGGATGTAGTGTACTCCAGATATAAAACCCCAAAGGTTCTCCAGAGTAGACATGGGTATGCGGGCTGCACCTGTCAACACCTCCTTAAAGAAGTTGTGAGGTTTCAACAGATGCTGTGTAATCCCAGGGAAATGTCTGAGATTCTGACAGCCAGCCCACACCCACCCTGTGAGCTCATACCCATTCTGAAGCACTGTCAGGGACTCCTAAACAAAAATGAGTATTTATTTTCCTGGGATGTGGTTACCGGGTAAGCCCAGGAAAACCTGCAGCTTCTTTAAAGAGGCATTGAGAAATAGCTATGCACGTCCACTCCTGCTCCTAAGCATCTCTGTGGCTTCAGGTCCAAAGTGCAGCACTGCCCTATTTACACTGTGCTTAGGTTTCAATTTGATGATGCATGGACTGAGGATTCAGCAAAGTTACACCTTTATAATAACTAGATTAACATAACTATTTCATCATGCAGTAGTTTTGCATCCTTAATTACTTAATGAGAAGTACAAAAATGTGAGATCAGCCCAGATAAGATGGCAAATGAGATACAAACGCAAGCATTGCACCATACCATGATCATTTTATAGAAACCATACCCCAAAATGGTATCTATCAGCTATATCCAAGCAGACCAATGCTAAAACAGAGCATTCAGAACTCTGTCAGAAAGTTACCTAAGCACTGTTTATCATAGGAAACTTCACAACTGCATCCATGTCTGCTTTAACAGGCTAATTACGGTTGATTAAAGATCGAGTACCTTATTTCTGTATTTATCAACTCTTCTTTGCAAGAGTACATTCCAGGGCAGAGTTTCTTACATTGGTGACTTAAACTGATACACAGACACAAACACATGTGTGTGTATCATATCTCAAAACTCTTCTATACTGTTTTCTACATAAAGTAGTTAATCATTTCTGGCAAAGAGCATAGATATGGGACGCATCAGAGAACTGCTTGCATTGATGATGTCTTTAACAATCAATGGCACCTCAGAAAAGGAAAACATCAAATCAGAGCTAAAGAAGAGATTATGGCCTAAATGTCTAGGAGAGGAATGCTATCTTCAAAAGAACAGTAAGTGTTTAGTAGTATTTCAAAAGACTTTTCAAGTTTATCCTTCCACAACCTGGGAATCCTCAAGCTTGAAGACAACCACTCTAGAAGCTCTCAAGCAGTACACCCATTGCTGAGAACAGATATCTGAAGCACTCTATAAATGTCTGGAATAATAATTTTAACGCTTATAAGCAAATTTGATGTGCTTGAGTAACATCAAATGTCATACTGAACTGGTATATAAGCTTGTAAATTTCATCGCACTTCTGACACAATAAGAATTGCTACCAATTGGCACAGATGTTTCTATGTAACAGATCTGTTTATAATTTATGGAATAAATTAGCAAAGTAGCTGTTTCAATGTGGTATGTCTGCTATGGTGCCTAGAAGCGTGATGCCACTTACTTTATACTGAATAGAGGCTTCCTTGAAGGTGGAAATGAAGAAGGCACTCCTAGGCTCTTCAGAGGATCACTCAGTATCAGCACAAGATATACGAACTACTGAGATGTAATTCTGTACTGTAGCAATATAACTCAGCTTCAGATTCATTTGCTGATAAAGGAAACCATAATATCTCCTGACATTAATCTTGGGAAAAGTTATATTCAATTTATAGCATAGATGAGGATGTTGTTGAACTATAGCTCTCATTATTCCTTACCACTGACCACAGCATGGAGCTCCTGAAAAGAGTACTGTAGTTCAACTACATCTGAAAGACTGCAATTGTATAGCATAGCATACCCAGGTATGTGTGCCAAGACTTCACCATATCCAGAAAAAATAAAAACTCTAACACTGGTATGGAGATATTACAGGACACAGCAAACAACAAAGAATTAATCTGGTTGTCAGAAATAACATGTGAACCTATTAAAAATTAGGTCCTTTATATAATAATCCCTGATCATTTGACCTTTAAAAAGCTTTAAATATTTAAATGTGTGAACACTTAAATCAAAGCTTTTAAAAACTAAAAATCCTACATCAAAAAAGTTTTGCATATTGACCTAAGCCATAGATTTGCTGAAGGTATTGATTAAAGGGATCTATACCAGGTGGCTGACCAACTGCTTATAAATTACTATTTATACAATGTAGTCCTAAATCAATGAGAAAATAGATGTTTATCTTTTCCTGACTCTATACTTATATTTATTATAACTTTTATGCCAATTTCAGTGTTCTTGAGTTACAAATCACAACCATGTTCCAAGACATTTACACACATATTCCACATATAAAATCTGCCTATGTTGAAGCTGTTCAATATATACATTTTTAAAATAATAGGTCTTTTTTTCTTTTGGTAATTTCAGACCAGTAGCCTTTTTCTGAAAGTGTATTGCTTCTATATGAAGCCACTTTCACGCATATTAAAAAAACCGCTGTTCCCGTTTGCTGCATCGCTTGAATTAATCATGTGCTCCTGTTCCAATCCCCATTCCCCTTCATCCTCTTCATCAGGTTCAGCTTCAGACCCACTGCGAGCGTTCTCGTACAAAAAAACCTGCTCATCCACATGAGCTGGAGCTAACCGATTTCTTTTAGCGCTAACAACATTGGCTGAAGAACTAAAAAGACGTTCAGGGAAGACCCTTGTTGCTACAATGCACCAGTATTTCTGAAGCACCTTTGGTAAAACAGGAAATAAAGCAAGCCTATCAGACCACCACTTGAGGGGATCTTCACTGAGCCCAAGGACTTTCTGGGACTTGAAATTACTCAGTTCCTCGATAATCTGAGCATGCCACTCCTCTTGATCTTCAACACCCCCCGTCTGGCAAAAGATTTCTGCAAGCATATTATTAATAGCACTTGTAGGAGGCGGCGTGGAGGCAACTGCCACTTTTTTCACTGGTGGCTCTTCTGACACTGCAAAGAATTTTTCTTCAGGCCTCAAAGTATTTTCTTTTATTTTTTCCAGGATACTTTTTGCATCCTCCAGCACTCTGTTCTCAACCTGTTGTTTTTCAAATGCCGAAAGAAAGGGCAATTTCTTGTATCGCGGATCTAAGAAAGTTGCAACGTTGAGAAACATGTCTATCTCAGGAGTATGCTGGTATGTTGCTGATAATTCTTTGGCAATCACCTCCTTTGCCATGCTTATTTCTTTTGAGTCATTTTCTTTTATATTTAATGTTGTATTTAGCAGCATGTGAAGAAGAGGTTTCACCATACTTATTCTTGGGTACTTAGAAGCAGATATCATCTCAGCTACCTGCTTGAAAGGCTGAAGCAAATCTACCAGCCCTTCGATTGCATTCCATTCGCTAGCTTCCAACATCAGGTGGTGATTATTGCTATCTTCCACAAGTACTGCAGCAATGACAAACTGCTGCTCTTTAAGACGCTGCAGCATGGCCAGCGTGCTGCCCCACCAGGAAACACGATCACTCACAAGCATGCAGTGCAAAATATTCTGCTGCTGCTGCTTCTCACTCAACATGTACATGGCCACAGCAGACTGCTGAAAGTATTCCACCAATTTTCGACATCTAGATAGGACGCTACTCAATTTAGGAAGCTGGAAGGCTTGCTGTATACCCACATTGAAAGTCTGACCCAAGCAAGGCATCTGTACTGGAATGTCCAAGAGAGAGCAAGCTTTCACAACATCTTTCCCATAATCTGTTGTAGCCCCAAAAACCTTTGTATTGATTCCCCATTCAATGAATATCTCATACAGGACTCGTGTAATTGTCTCTGCAGTGTTTTCCTCTGGCACTTCAAATGTTTTTAGACAACGAGAATTAATAGCCAGGCTGCTGGAGGAGCCATTACTAATAAAATGAACAGACAAGGTTACATAGGATCTATTCTGGTTATCACTTCTCCATATATCAGTTGATATGCCACACCATGGAACGTCCATCAATTCTTTTAATACAATATCTCTAACAGCAACATATTTTTCAGGAATTCCTTTTGTGCAGAAGTACTTTCTGCAAGGAAGTTCATATCTGGGGTCAGCTGTTCTTAAGAGACTCTTGAATGTGGGTTCATCGACAATAGATGGAGGATACAACCCTTCACAGATTAAACTAATCACTGCTGAAGTTAGCTCTTGATGCTTTTTATTCTCGTAACTGTGGCTTGTTTTCATAATTAAGTTGTCCTGAACAACCTGCTGAGATGATTCTGGCTTCAGCTTTGAAAATGCAGTTGCAAAGGCCTCCCTCATTTGCTCAGTGTTGCTTTTCACAAATTCACAAAATTCATCTGGGTGATTCTTTTCAAGGTGGTAAGAGAGGTTGGACGTATTTCCTGAATAGGCAATCTGTGCCATGCAAATGCGGCAGTAGATTTTCTTCCATTGCAATATGCATCCCTCTGCATTGGTATCAAAGCCAAAGTACTTCCACACTTTACTCTTTGCTCTTGGGTGGGCCACTAACTTTAGGTCTGATGGGGAAGTTTCCAAAGTTTTATTCTCCATTGCTTCTTAGCCACTCTCCCAACCTTTTGATTCTTCACTCATTAATGAGCACCTGATAAAGGCAGCAGATAAACATAAAATGAGAAAGCACTGGTTTGGTCAACTGTATAAAATCAATGCTTCTATAAATATTCAAAACCTACCTTATTGATAACAATATTGGAATGTGCCTGAGAGCGGACTGTAGCTTTGCACTCTCTTTGGAAACTGAATACACGCAATATTACTTCTACGTGTTCTGCAAGCAGTAGCTATTCAGGCTTCATGACAAAAGATTTGACCAAAATTAATTGCCCTCTGGGCAAAAATATGGGATATAAATTGCTAAAGTACACAGTATTATAAATAGAGTAAGTGCCAAAGCCTCAATCACATATGTTTAATTTAAATAAATGGAGAATACATCATTACAACAAGCTTATGCATCCAAGGATATAACAAAATGTTACCAAATCCCTTTCAACCCCAAATACATTCTCATTTCTGATACAATTCTGTGCATACCAGGACTGTGTATCTTCAAGAATCAATAACTTGGTCTCCTAGTTCAAATCTCAGAATGCTTCCATAGAGGATAACCGCAGAAACAGCTTGACGCCTTTTTTCCCCGTGTCGTGCATAAGAGTGTGTTAGGGACTCATTACACTCACCAGAAGAAACACTCACCATGACAAATGAATTTTTATGGTCCTGAACACATAGCACTGCTCAAGCCAGTGAGCAAGGAAGCTTTTGGTAAACTGAGAATTTTTGAATTCTTTTCTCCCTTTTTGACACTATAAATCTTTCACAACTGTCATAGGCATGGGTGTCTAGGTGGGTACCCAAATATTTTCCTGGCTATTACATTTTTATATATTTCATAGCATTTACTTAAGAAATATAACCTAGAAGCTAGCAGCATCTCAGTGAGCAGAATTTGGAAGACCATTTGTTGAATGCTCATCTGAAATCTAACTTAAAACAATGCCCTCCGTTATTTCTCAGTTTACAGGAAAATTTAGGTTATGCAGTATTTATTGTGATGCATTTGAAATTTCAGAAATTCACTCCTACAAAGCTGTCTCAGTATGTCTCGATGTGTAAACTGCTTTCTGTAGCAAGCAACAGTTTTGAATTGTTTGCTTTTGATGCACATGTATGCAGGCAAGGGGTCTGGACAACAGAAATTTCAAAAATACCTCCGGATGGTCACACAGTTCTCCCCATAAAAGTTGTTCCAGGACTATACCCCAAATTAACATCATAGAACATGGGGTGCATTCAACCAATGACAGGTGATCTTAAAAAAGCTAAACTGGGTTGGATCTAGTTTTACTCCGATGGGAGACTACCACAAAATCCAAGAGCTGAAGAGTGGTAAGCTAGACTGAGTAGCTGAAAAACAACTTGAAGAAGGCAATGAGAAACCACTTTTATTATTTTCATGATAACTTCATGGACATATCCTATGAAATTACTAAGAGTCATGTTTAGCCTTTATTTTAAACTGTAATAAATTCCTCTGAAATAAATTGTATAATGCAAATAAATAAAATAAAATTATTTTACAATGTGTGTATGCTGATCTCGTAATTAGTTCTGGGTGGCTCTCTGTCATCTGCACAGCTAATAACTATGCATCTTTCATACATGTTTATATCCCGATCAATAACTAGCTTACTCATAAAATCAAAGGTCTGTGGAATCTCAAAAGAAAATAAAAAGTTTTTATTGTTGCATACAAAGAAAAGTTTAACATATGTGCTTCGCCAATACATATGTATGTATGTAAATATATGTGTGTTTATTTTCCTTATAACAGGGAAACTATACAGTTCCCCTACTCAATATTTGTTACTGAAAACGGCAAGCCATTTTGCACAACTGCCCAGACTTTTTAAGTATGCAAATTATTTTGCAAATTATTTTGCCACTCATTTACCACTGTGCAAATATGTAACTCAAAAGGAAGAACAAATTGCACTATTTAGGTTTTCCAGCTCAACAGATCCACTTTCACTGTCAAGGTATCTTTAAAGACTTCTGGTAAATCACACATTTACTGCTAATAATGAGACCATTACTATTTTGAACATTCCTCCTGGGCACTTGTAATTACACTGCACTGATATATGGATCAAAAGAGGGAAACATCTGTTGTCCTTTTAGCTTGCTTTTTTAGAAGTTATAACCAGCATCACAGCTGGCACTTCATAAGCTACTTGATAAATGGAACCAAACCAGCATTTCCCAACAACAGCTGTCAGTAGACAAAATTTCCATGACAGGTAACTAATATTAGAGTAAAATAAATGAGTATAAGATGCTACTCTTAATTTAGATGGAATATTGTAATGCATATGGACACATATGATTCCCCCATCAGATCTTTTCTCCCCTACAACCACTACTGGTTCCATGCTGGTTAATAAGAACTACCCTTCAACTTCCTTCAATAAGAAAAGTAAGGCTCAATGTTCACTCTTTCTTCTTATTAAATTAGGTTAAAACTTGTCTCATCTTAACAATATCAAAAAACCAAAGTCTTGTTTTCCCAGTTGAGATACTCAAAGCTAAGCATTTTCATGAATTTAATAGAGCCTTGTTATATTTTCTCATAACTTTTAAGCAAAGTGTAAGAATTTAAGCAAAGTGTAAGAATTCCTGCATGTTGCAGGAATAGTTAGATGTTCTGTAATTCAGAATATCTAGCAGTGTTTTCTCTTGGAGCAGATTCCTGAAAGCAAAAGAAAGGAGTCAGTAAAATAGCTGGCAAACTTTGGAATTTAATACAAATGATGACAAAATTTAGAGGAACGTGGCAAGTTGATGGTGAACAAACAAGTTGAAAGTCATATTTATAATTTTAGTCGTATCAAACTGTAGCCTTCTGGCTATGAAGCTTCAGCAAAGAATAGCATGCCTTCAAGGAGGGAGAAAATTGAACATCAGTACCTAATCTGACTAATTACCTAAGCAAGGAGAAGAGGCAATAAAACATGTGGGGAAGAATTATTGAAAATGGGGTGTTTTTATTTGCTGCTCTCCCACATCAGGTGAGTTGCCTCCTTCTTTGCCTCACAAAGAGATGCTACTGTTCTTCTTTCTCATACTTAGAAGTTCTTGCCCTTTCTTAGAAATCTTGTCTTTATTGTTGTAAGCAATCTGGAATCAAGAGGAGCAATATTGCCCATCTAAGTGCCCAACAGGTGCATTTTGGAAAAATGGAAAAGGAAGGAAAAGTAGTAGTAGTTTTTAAAACTTCCCTGTAAAGGGTAACTAAGCAAGGGTAATTAAGCAAGGCTAATTACATAATGCAGGGGTGCAACAATGTAGTATAGCCTGAATGGATACAATTTCTGCTTTTGACTTTCAGATCCAACGAGGAGGCAAATTATGACATTCATTAATTTCATAAACCAAAATGGTGCCAGAGAATACAAAGCAACCCCACCAAAACTTGCCCTCAATAGATCATCCCTATATATTATGTTTGTAGATTTTCATTAAGATAGCTATGCCTATCAAAATAAAAAAGGAAGATCCCTTAAAGATCTCTGTAGAGATTAAAACATATACTTTTAAACATTTAAAACATTTCATACTTTAGTTAAATGCAGCATAAATGCACTACCAAAACACTTTTTACTTCAATTAAAGCAAAATAATAAATATACAGCTACAGCATAGACCATCAGTGATATATTCCACCAAAATCAACACATTTTGCTCAGCCTAACTAGGAAGAATCTGCATTCTACATAGTATAGATTAATTTAAATGGAATCTAAAAATCCAATCCAGATCTAATATAATGTCCATTCACATAACATGGCCAAGATAAAGTCTGATTTATTTGTGTGTCCAGTATATCCTTTTCCTAAGCAGCATGGCTCCAAATCATTTATCTGCAGATTGCTTTAAGATCCTGCAAACCTAGCTCCATGATTTTTTCCAACCAAAAGAAGTTAAGGAAGGGAAAAAAGGCATATAATGAACGTATTGTGACAATCTAAAAAAAACACAAACAAGGGGGATGAGCTTGATCATCCAGCAGATGAGTGACCAGGTGTATTCACAGGTAAACCAGATTTTTCACAGCTATATTGTGGATGGGGAAAGTACTGATCTCACCCAGAGAATCGGTATAGGTCTAAAGAAGGACAATCACATCAAGGGAGATGCATCTGTACAGACCAAGAGCAGTTCAAGTGTGCCTTATTTGAACTACATATAGATTATAACTGACACTATCTCCAAAGTTTCAGTACAAAAGCAGTGCTATTAAAAATGAAACCACAGGTTCAGTCTTAGCTACACTAACAAGGAAGTAAAAGTTACTTTCTAATTCAAGAGAAATCTGTCTTAGATTACAGCATTTTCCTGCTCTAACTAGCTAGGATTTACCGGGATGAGAGCAACTTCAGACAAGCTTTACGTCGGGGACTTCTCCCAACTCTCCCAGCACAGCCACGAACAAACGGGAAGCTTTCCCTGCCATTTTTGGTTTCTTGTTTGTGAATCCGCGTCCCTGCACTTTTCTCCACAGAGTAAAAGCCCAACTCGTGCAGACGAGCAGAGCGACGGCGTTCAAGAAGGGTCAGGCTTTTTTTGTGTTCAAGGCACCCACCGCTCGCCCCAGCTCCGCGTGCAACCTACTAACCTGGTTTGGACACAGAGCGCTGGCGGAGGCGACGAAACAGCTGCTCCAGAAGGACGCGGAAGCCGACAAAATAGACCCAAAGGGCAGGCATGAGCAGGGACAATAGCGACATGGCTGCCAAGCGCCGCCGAAGCTCAGACACCGCCTTGGTTCCGCTCCGCTCCGCTCCGCTCCGTGGTCGGCGGCGAAAAGAGCCAATTCCGCGCTCCCCGCCGGGGCAGACGCAGAATCGGGACGCGAGTAGGTAGCCACGCCCAGCGGAAGAGGGCTGCGCCCGCCTCGACGGAACGATCGGCGCCTTTCTGAGCATGTGCGCCGGGGCTGGGGATCTTTGTGCCTGCGTGAGTGGTTGTCGCTCCGCTCCTCCCTGTCGCCCCCTTGTCGCGTGAGCTCGAGAGACGCTGCACCCTGTAATCCCTGGAATTGTCAGGCAGATAGATAAGCGCATTGTTACGAGGCACCCTGCAATTAGAGCTGTGGTACCAATAATTCTGCCTCTGCCTTACTCTGGATGTTGATTCATTGTACAATTCAGTATTTCTCAACCTTGGCAACTTTAAGATGTGTGGAACAACTCCCACAACAATTAAGATGTGTGGAACAACTCCCAGGAATCCTGGGAGTTGAAGTCCACGCATCTCAAAGTTGCCAAAGTCGAGAAACATTGATATAACTGGAACAAGAAACAGTAGATCGTAACCTCGTGAAAGGTATCTGGATCAAAAGTGACCGATTATATTATGATGAAATGACAGCTTAAATACTGTATTTTAAAGCTACAAAGATAGGTAGGCAGATAGGTAGCTCGATCTAAATTCGGTGTTTTAAAATAGAAATTTAAATAGTGGCTACAGCTGAGTCAAGAGGAGGATTGCAAATCGAATGAAAAGGTGAAATGATCCTCCCCGCATAACTCTTATTTTTAAGCTTTATTAATGCTGCCTACTTCGAATGTGTCAAGACTCGTGTTAATTTGTTTCTCAGGCTCTTTCACAAGTCATCTACAGCACTTACCACTCTTCAGAATGGAAGATATTAGGGGACATTTATATTGCTATTCCCACTTTTGGAAGACAGAACTCTGCCTTTTCCTGCTCTTATTTTCACTATTAAATCAATCAGACACACCTATAATACTCAACACAACTCACAAAACAAATATAATTGTGCAAAGTTGTGATCTAATTCCCAATAGCCATTGCCTGTTTTACAGTTTGGATTGTGCCATTAGATTAATGCACATTTTTAATGTATTTGTTATAACCTGTTTTTTATAAACCATTCATTTTTTAATGTATTTGATCACTTGGGCCAGAAAATGCATAGCATTTGTGCTCTCTCCTGGAAATATAGGGTTAGTCACCAACCTTGCACCAGCATAACTAGAGGATAATTTTACATTGTGTTATCTTTATAATAAACTTAAAAGGAAGGTGTAACTTTATGCATCCTATTCTATCATTACCATATGGATGATTCATAAAAAAACATGCCATAGAGAGGAATCTTGGAATATCACTGAGTTGACAAATCAGACTAATCAATCTGGTTTGAATCACATCACTGGTTCTTATAGATCAGTGCTAAATAAACTGACAGCAGCTTTCTGGTATCCATGGAACCTCCACCCCCCCCCTAAGAAAGGTGAAGAAATGTGTAAATCATATTTGTTGTAAATGGGAATGCCATATTTAATGGAGGTCCTGTGTTCTAGTAAGACTGTTTACTTAACAATAATTCTATGCTCAAATACAACCTTGAAAGAACTAGCTGATGATGTCAAATACATGGGAAATTTCTTGGGCAATACATGGGAAATTATGATCTGCCCAGGCAATCAGTCTGTAACCACCTTAAAACAATGCAGTGATTATTAGAAGTCAGAAACTGAGAAAAGTAGCAATACATACTGCTTTGTTACCTATGCAAACACATTGCACATTCCAGCAGCCCTGTCAGACTCCTGACTAGCCATTATTTGGCAGAAACAAAACCCAGAATGTTTTTGTTGTTCTGCTATCAGTTAAAACAATCTTGTTTTATATGGTTAGTAGGAAAAAATCGGGTGCATTACCCCCTCTCCTTTTTTAGAACATATGGTGTTACAGTTATTTCTTCCACCTACCTTAGCAACAGATCTTTGAAGGTCTTAAGAGCTCCCAGTGTGAGAGATATTACACTGGCCTGCCCACTCCCTAACTTCCGGGCACCTCCCCTCTCCTCCATTTGTTGCTTTGATTGATTCCAAGTCCAGTTCAGACATATATATTTCAGTTTGGGCACAAACCACTTGAAACAGCTGTCTTGTGCATGGAAACATGTCTATCATGATTAGTTTAATAGGTTAATTTATTTAAAAGATGGGAGAGTTCCAGATATATCTTAAACTCTATACTGAATTTAAGAATTAGGAACTAGGATGGATGACATGACAATTAAATGGATACATAGATGGCTCAAAAATCATACTCAAAGACTGATCATCAATCCACAATGAATTTGGTATGATAGCTAATACCTAAGAAGAAAGCAACAAAATTCAAAATCAGTCCTGATAGACTGCAAAAGTGGGATTAAAAATAACATAATGAAATTTAATTACAGAAAAATGAAAATAAGTTTGCTTAGAAAAAAATTAAATGCACAAGTGTAGGCTGGAAACAAGAATATGTGTGAAATGGGTTTTGGAAGTGCAATTGATCACAAGCTGCATATGAATCAGAAGTAAGACCCGGCTGCAGAAAAGATAACACAATTTTAGACTGCATTAATAGAAATATACTCCCATGGTCCAGTCATGGTACTGGCTCTCACTTTGCGTCTGAACCTATGCTTCCAAACCCAGAGCTTCCTGTTGGTTTCATTACTTCCCTGCCTCAGGTCCTAAAGACAGGTTCTTTCCCTTTCCCTGTGAAGCACACATTGCTCCACAGTACTCAGTTGCTTATCTGGTGGTACTTCCCACCCAGAGTGACAGTTCGGCCCCCTGCCTGTTATCAAAAGGATTTTCATTCTATATGTAAATAGAGATAATAAACAATTATTAAGTGATGAAGATGATGAACAGTTTGATGCCCCTTGCTAGCTAGCTAGCTAGCTGTCTGTCTGTCTGTCTATCATCTTTTGACCCTTGAAAAGTGAGCAATTATGATCTTCCAATAAAGTTCTTAATACTGCCATTCTGTTTGATCAGCACTATACCAATAAAACACAACTTCTTCCTTTTACAAGAAATATGCAGACTGGAAGAGGGTGCCTGAAAAGAAATGGAAAATTGGCGACAAAGTATTTCTTTCAACCAAAAACTTGAAATCGTCACAACCATCAAAGAAACTAGGTCCTAAATACCTCGGACCTTTTGAAATTGAACCCAATAACTGTTTACCTCATACTGCCCAAATCATTAAGGAAGATCAATCCCGTGTTTCATTGTAACTTGCTGAAGCCTTATAAAGAATCAACACGGTGGCACATGGCTCCATCAGTTCTGGAACCTCTAATGGTTGAAGGTGAGCAACATTTTGAAATAAGGGAAATACTAGATGTCAGGAAATATAAGGGTGAAATACAATTTCTAGTCCAATGGAAACATTTTCCAAAGTCTTTTTCTGAATGGGTAGCTAGAAAACATGTGAAAGCTCCAAAACTGATTAAGGAATTTTATCAAAAAAATATCCTGATAAACCAAACTAAAGTTATATTGTAACAATAATAATATGATATGCATATATATGTACCTGTTCTATTTTCTTTCTTTGTTTCATTGCAGGTCTTCGAGAACCAGCTTTGAAGTTTATTTTTCTGTGTTTTTTGGGGGGGGAGGGGTGGCATGTCAGAACCTCCAGCAATCAATCTATCCGCTCACTAGTTGCTTGCTTCATTTCTGCCATTTTTCATTAGGGGGAGGGGGGAACAAGGATAGTGAATCCGTTAACACAGATGGACTGTTATCTGGGGCCAGGAATGTCCAAGGTCGTACCGCCATGAGAACTGGCTGAGAAGAAGGGAGGTAGAGGTGAGGGTAAAAGTAGATTGGGAATGTGCGGGCTTTTTAGTTTCAGCAATGCTTTGAAGCTGCATGTACATCTCAATAAATGAATTTCTTTTTGAACTTGATTCGAGTTTCAAGAGATTTTTGATGATTTGAACATCATAGATCTGACAGTAGGTACAAAAACACTACCAAAACCATTATCCTGGTAGCCATTTGACTGCTTATCTTTCCCAACCTCATCTTCTCTTGCTCGTTTACTACTATTAGGAATAATATGGGAATAAGCTGATTGTTCAAGATTAAAAGTAGTCATCCAACTTTTCTGGGGGGGTTTTCTTAATAAATGGCAAAATAAAATGTGTAGCTGTTATACTTAAGCTTTGTACTCTTGATTTAACTGCTACAATTGTTTAGTCCAATGTACAGTATACAGTGATTTCTCAGTGAACCATACAATTCTAAAATAATTTCTAGATCATTTCTAAATCATAAGAAGAAACACTTGCTATCCTTTTTCTGAAATGTCATGTTTCTAAATACATACAGAGAGCGAAACATGCACTATAAGTCAGTCAATATTCCCATAACATTAGCATTTTGTTTTGATATTTTGTATTAAAAACCTGCTGTATGGTATGGAATATAGCTGTTAGTGGGCAGTGATTTCAGTAAGCATATCTGAATCCAGTGATGCTTTTTGATTTTGATATTATAATTCTTGGATTTTCACAGTAATATTTGTGGGGCGGTTATCATCCATGGAATCATAAATCTAATTATATTCTTTTTCAAAATCTTAGTTAACATATGATGTGTATGTGTGTGTGTGTAATATTTAACTGGGGAAAAAATCCATAATATTAATCAGAAACACTGAAAAGGATTAAGAAATACAGACAGGTTATATTATACTTGAAGTCCATATTTTCCAGCTGTTCTTTCAGTTTTATTTTACTCCAGTGTAAGTATCTGTCAAATCAGACTTGAGCTACAATACATACAAAGAAAGTTTCACACTTTCCTATTGTGCTTAAAATAATTCACATATACTCCCCAAAATAGTATTATTTTAAACTCCAGTGGCAAC